AAAAAAAAAAAACAACATATTAGTTAGTTAAAATGCATCATTTAACAAACTTCAAGTTCATTATGGAAAAATAAGCTACAAAAGCTCAAGAGTGAAGTTGAAAAGGCCTCACCTTGAGAAAGCAGAGTTGAATAGAAATGCCTGAAATTTTAAGATTAGTGGTGGAGGAATTTGGTGATTAAAGTGATGGGGTTGGGGAGGTTTTTATACTTGCTTAAGGGCCTCGAGAAACGAGTGGTGGATTGTACCCAGTAGAGATTTAGGGTGTGTGGTTTTTCTTTTTTGATATTCTCTTCATCACTTTGCTTCCTTGAACAATGGAATGTATATCACAAAAAAGAAAACCAAAATGGGAAAAAGAGATAAAGAAATATTGAAATGGGATTCTAAAGATACTAAAGAAAGAAAGAATTTGATGATAAAGCTTTAACTAGTGTACTTTAGGGTTTCCAGAGGTTGCAAATGCATGAACATATCCATAAATTAATTTAGTTCCATAAATGCCCTTCTTTTTATCTATCCACCATGTACTCCCATGGCTAGAAATGGCTAGTTAGTTTGAATTTAATTAGCACTAAAGGCTTGTTAAAAAAATGAGAAATTATTTTTTTCTAACCAGATTGTGCAATCAAATTTTTCGTTTATATATATGTTCATGCCATCTAAATTTACAGTTTGACAATATAGGTTTGTAAGCATATATTCTGGGACGGTCCCATGGGTTGCCTAACCTGGAATATATAGCCGAGATGAGTTAATTTGTTTTCCTTTTTGTCCCTATAGTTTGTATGTAGGTTTAAGGTTTAGTTTGTATGTAAATCTACCTCACCTCATTTTAAAATTTTGGGTCCGTCTTTACATATATTACCCTAAAATATATAAAAGTAGAGAAAATGTGGCATGCTTTAAATTGAGTTGGCAATGCTACACCTTGGTTAAATGTGTTATTGTATGGAACATTTTTTTTTACATAATTAAGACGCAAGTTTCTGAGAAAATTAAGATGACCTTCATAATTTTCAGGCAATTTGGTTGGTGTGGGAGAGTCAAATTCCAGCCTTTTAAGATATTGTTTCCATCTAGCTCAATCATTCAGAAGAGATAGATACATATTACAGCAAATGATAGGGATGTTTTTTTGGTCGAAAATGATAGGGGATGTAATCACAATTCAAAGTTAAAAAGTATTGTTCCTTAATACAATGCGCAATTTGAAAAGCAACAAGGAAAACCATGTTGATTTGACTTTGTTAATTTATTCGTACAACAACTATCTATAATGTTCATGTCCCCACAAAAAGAAAAATAGCATGCATTGTAACCTCTAAACACAGCATATAGCCATGCACCCCAATGTCTTTTAATTATGCTAATCTATGAACCTCATGAAATTCTTTTGACCATTTGCATATATTTAGGAGTCACCTTCCTTCTTGTTGGCTTTCTTGTTGAGTCAGGACTGGATAAGCAGGAACAAAATTCACTGTTTTCCTGCCAGACAAAATGAATATTCTTCACACATCAAAAAACCCTTAGGAGTGGTCAAGCCTGCTTTCTGTAATTTTATAACCCCACATCCTAAGGGTGTTACTATACAAGGAAAAATGGTGGTTGCTTTTCAATTTTTCTTGAATATTCTTTCTTTGTACTTGGAACTACAAAAATTTCCTCCAAGTCAAAAGGGTTTTTAGGGTTACCACGGTTTCTCTCCCCCAGCCCAGAAAAAAATTAAAACACAAAAGCAAGTAATCCATCGTTTGGTCACTTAGGGCCTTATACGATGATAAGAACTGTAGCAAACTGCGGAACACAGGATGTTGTAATTTGAGTGGATTCAATGTATACTATCTCAGCATGTTAAAAGCAAAACATCGAATAGACTGCAGCTAATCTTACATAAAAATATAGTCACACTCGTGCATGTCAGCTGGTTTGCTAATTTAGAGAAGATATGTTACCGTTGCCCAAGACATAGGCACATAGCTGAAGCCAAACACAAGCTGTTGCATGGCTAAAGATGTTCAAAGAACGTCCACATTAATTATATTCTGTGACCAAATTTTAATAATTGAGTTCAGAAACATGGATTGGAGTGGAGGCTCAAAATCAAAGAAAGAAAGGGGAAATTAATTGGTAGAGTTTCGATAAAGATAGTCGAAGCTGATGATGATGGAAGAGGAGTCTTCGAGGTTCAAATTTTGACCATCTTTTTAATCTTTTTCTTTTTCTCACTAGTTGTGTACTGCAATTCATGCCTTTTTCACTGTCGTTTTTACTTTCCCCCCCGTCCCCCACCTTACTCGTCCTCACAAATCTTCATTTTGAATCTTTGAATAATTAAGTGAAATAACAGAAAAGAAAATCGAATTATTATTATTTCAAGATTATTCACCACTCACCATGCCATTTTTTTTTCTTGGGGAATGGTAAAGAAGGCTGTAGCAAACTGTGAAAAAGCAAAAACAAAGGAGGGGACTGATTCGATTCTCTCATCGGGAAATGCTTCCATGCATGACCATGACCAAGCGCAATACATTCCACCCAACGTATATATATGATCTTTTAGCTTTCTCTTTTTAAATACAATGTAAAACAATTCTGATTAGAGGCCATTTGAAGATGTTTGTGAACAAATCTTAATGCAAATTCAGTTTGTTTGCATTATCCACTTTCCCTTATATACCATTGGACAAAGTGATGGAACCTTGTACCTTTTGACCAATTTCAAATTTTACAGGCAAGTTCTTGATTTGATTCTGAAAATAAAATAAGAAAACTTTAACAAATTATATGCTATTGTTGAGAGTGCGAATCCTAAATTAAAGATTTTGAACCTCTTCATTCATTATCAATTAATTTTGAGTTAGATACTCGCATTTTAACGATATCAATGCATGATATTCACGTAATCCATCTATAATAATGCTTAGAATTATTTTCCTTTTTCCCAAAAAAAAAAGTAGCAGATTTAGTAAAGGAATGTGATTATCCAAACATAAAAATCGAGAATACTACAAAATATATATTTTATGTTTCTACGTAATGCGTGTTTGGTTGCATGCACGTGAGATGAGTGTGATGTCATCACACAATGATAAAAGTTACCTCTTTTCTTTTACTTTTTTAGTCCTCCAATATCTTTTACATTATGCTCTGAGAGACTACCCTAAAATGTCCACCTCTTTGATCTTTTTTAGCACGGTTTTCCACCCTTAACCCATCTCCAAATATCTTTCATCTTTACTACAGAAACGTTGCCCTTTCCGCTTTACAAAACAACACAAAATTCCTCAATTTCTTTTAATCCAAAATCTCCTCTTCTTTTGCCCTCTTCTTTTCCACCAAGATGACTGTAATTTGGGATTAACTTGGAATAATTTTGTAAGGGGTTTGTAGTTATGATAGTTAAAAACAGTTACTCATGCACCCGAAATTATGTGTTCCAATCCCCCCTCACTCAGTAGTATCGCTTATGTCAAAAGGATAAAATGCAATAACTTCTTTGTTTGTGATGTTATCATTGAGAATAGAGAGTATGACTAATTTCTGACCACCCGAAATAAAAAAAGAGACTAATTCTGTATCCAAGAAATATGGGACTATTCTTTACCAAAATAAGAAGGGAACTATTTTTGAGTGGACTTGGATAGACCCATTTCAAAATTGATGTCGGTGCCAACCCATGATTGATTAATTTGGGCTCAATTCTTTTTTGGGTGCTAGCAGGCCCATGATTGTAAGAGACACTTGGGTATAATAAATAAAAAATAAATGTGGAATTTCTTTTGATGCAAATGCAATAGCCAAAAAAACTCTAAATTCTAGCTTGCTAGTAATTACTACCTGCCATCTACATCTGAAATCGTTATGTCATTTCTCGATCGATGTCTTTGCCTACTTGAAGATGAATCTGCATCAGTGGAACTTAATTGACTCAAAAATGCAGGTTCTTTTGGAAGAGGCAGAGCAATTGTTTCATTGCTTAGCATCGAAACAACATCTGACATGTTTGGTCGATCCATGGCTCTTTCTTGCACGCACAAAAGACCCATCTGAATGCACCTCGTAACTTCACTGCTTGAACATGAGGCACTCAATGTTGAATCCATCGACTCCATGCTCTTGCCTTCTTTCCAAAAATTCCAAGTCTAAAACAATCAAGTTTCACAAATCTTAGCAACAATTAGTATATGCAAACGTATAAAAAGTGATTAGGTGTAGTTTGTGAGGGGTTTGTTAAAGGTGCTTACTCTGCCTAGTAAGTTAAGAGAATGATCAGTTTCAAAGAAGGCTATGTTCTTCTTTCCACTTATGATCTCTAATAAGATCACCCCAAAGCTGAACACATCTGATTTTTCAGAAAAGAGGCCGTCCATCGCATACTCCGGAGACATATAACCACTAACAATTAGAGTATAAAATGCATTAGACAATTTTGTACCAAAAGAAGAAAAAAAAAAAACTAGGCAGCATGTAATTTACTTACAATGTACCAACAACTCGGTTTGTTTTTCCTCTAGTGTCATCATCCCCAAAAATCCTTGCCATGCCAAAATCTGAAATTTTCGGGTTCATGTCACCGTCCAACAGAATATTGCTTGTCTTTAAATCACGGTGAATGATCCGTAATCTCGAGTATCTGTGAAGATAAAGAAGCCCTTGAGCAATCCCTTCAATAATGTGAAAGCGCCTTCTCCAATCCAAAAGTGCCTTTTTGGATGAATCTACACCCAAGCCAATTCATCTCAAAATGTGAACGAAGATATAATGAAAATTGAAACATGCATAGAACTATAGATCATGGACCAACCAAAAATAAAGGAATCCAGGCTTCTGTTGGGCATGTACTCATAAATTAGTATACTTTCTTCTTCTTCAATGCAGCATCCCAAAAGCCTAACCAAATTCCTGTGTTGGAGCTTACAGATTACTGAAACTTCATTTTTGAACTCATTCAAGCCTTGCCTGGAAATTTTGGACAGCCTTTTCACTGCAACTTCCTGATCTTCTAGAGGCAACTTACCCTGCATTTTCCATTATGTAAACATGTAGAAGTTTTGCTAAGAAAAAAAAACACACAAATAAAATTAACTGATGGCTTGCCTTATAGACAGGCCCATATCCACCTTCCCCAAGTTTATTAGCCTCTGCAAAGTAATTTGTTGCATTCTTTATTGTGGAAAAACTAAAAAATGGCAAATCTTGATCCTTCTGTCTTCCCAGTTCTATGTTACTTGCACCTCTAACTTCATCATGATGAATTGGTGACGCATTAGGGGAGCTCATTTGAAATAATCTCATATGATCAGAATCCGCGACGGCATCTCCTCTGCTTGCTAATTGATCTTCTGCTAAAATTACATTGACATAAACGTCATTTAAGCCTGTTTAATTTCCCTTAGCAATGAACTCAATCTTATGACAATCAAACTCAAACCTTTACGTCGCCTTCTCCCACGCAGATAATAGGATAAGGAGATTGCAATAAGAACCAAGAGGAATGCCAAAGGAAGCAAGACAGCCAGCCAGAGTTTCCACTTCTTGCTATCTTGAGAATGAACACAATGCCACCATTTTGTTTATGAAAATAATACAATTTCTTGTACTCAACAAAATTATGTTTAACGAAAATTGCCTAATTTTTTACCAACAATCCATGAGAAAAGCATGCTATGTTCTTGCATTGTGAATTTGAATAACATAATCAACTATTAGCACCTGTTTTTATAATATTTGAAATGCCATTCTAGATGAACTGGTAAGCTGTTAAATCATTTCAGATTTTTTGAGATTATATGTATAGATAGCGGTCCCACTCCCACATAAAGACAAACGAGTAAACCAAAGAATTCCAAGGCACCTAACACCTTCACATAATAAACAACATAATTATTGACTAAAGTATGCACCAGGAAAAGAATTTATATTAATTGATTGTTTCAAAGGATCCCATCACACGGAAAAACGTCGTAATTTATTCGTTTTTATATATATAGTAAACAACCGTAATTCATGTAGTAAGTTATCTTCTTAATTTATCCTTATGGCGAACTAGGAGTCAAGACTTGATAATATAAATAGCAAATTTAAAATAATAATAATAATATACTTTAAAAATTTCTTTTGTCTCATTATGTGATGTATGGTTGAGTAGATTATTATTTGAATGTACTGTTAGATTCATAATTCGACAACATAACATGTTACACTGTCATTAAAAAAATTATTACATATAGGATACAGTTCTTCTCCTATGCGGTGAGTTGTACTTTTGAAATCCCTTTGAGTTGACGATTGAAAGAAGTTTATTAGAATAATTTTTTTTTGGATGTTTGGTCTTAATTCACTATTATAAGTATCTTATGTTGCCAGAAGGTCGAAAAAGAACATTACTCTATATTGTATAATACAAGTAGTTGAATTCAAACTTACCACTTGGAGCACTACCCCGGATGTAAACAATCCCTGCCCCCTTCTCTATGATCTTCAACAGATCATGTTTGCTCCCAAAATAGAGTTGACATCCTGGCGGTTGTTCATTCTGAAGTGCAGCGAACGCAGTGCAAGAACAATTGGACTTGCACAAAGTTTCACACTCGGTAGTCCCCGTAGAAATGAAACCAGTACCACTGAAAGTAGATGGCAAAGAACCATTCATCTCATAAAACTTACCATCCCCACACTCGAACGGTATTGAAGTCAAGCACCTACCAGAATTACCACCAGCCGAATCAGCACACAAAGCATGAGGCCTAACAGAAATCTTCCCATCCACCATGAAATACTGGTCCAGGTTTCCGGTGGAAGCCATCACGAACCACATGAGGTCGTAGTTCCTACTGTGGCTAAAATTGTAGTAGGCCTCATATGCATTAGCATGGTAGCTAAAATTGTAGTCATTGTTATTATTGTTCTGCCCGGTTGAGTTGTCAAAAATAAACCGGATGCTATGTCCGTCCCAGGAAGCTATGTCCATTTTGGCTCCATCTCCTCGCCAAACCGAAAGCTTCGACAAGTCGTTGCCATCAACGGATAAGGTGAAGAGGCCTCGAGCTGGGTTTTGGGGGCTTGCCCAAGAAACAATAAGGTGAAAGCTGTGGCGGGTTGTGTTTAGGCCATACAACCCAAGTTTCATCCCAGGAAGATATGTATCACTTGGAAGATCAAAACTTTGCCATATAATAGTACCTGTATGGTCCAAAAGAATTAA